GGGCTGGGCTGGGCTGGCCATGGTGACAGTGGCAGTCATAGCTAGAGGAACACCTCCCAGGAAGGAGGCCCCCTCACAAGGAATGGAGCCCCCAGACCCGTGACTGGGAAGGCCACTGCTGCCCAGAGACTGTCCCTCGCGCTTGGTGGAAGTGCCCAGGAGAGAGCCGTGCTGCCGGGGGGACCACACGTGCAGACCTGGCTGCCCTGGAGGGCGCTCCCCCGTGGCCGCTCTCCGGTCCTCCTCGGCCTGGTGGCCGGGAGTGCCCTTCCTGCCCATCCCTCCACCCGACCTGCCTTTGTGCTCTGCTGTTCTCTGTTTCCTCCTGGCTGCTGCTCACTCAAAAAGATAGGCTTGAAATCCTTGGCGAAGAAACAGGCTCCTTCCCCCCAAACTGCCAGTTTGGGGTGCTCATCATCTGTCCTGCTCCTGCGCCCACTGGCGGTGGCTGCTGCAGGAAGGAAGCCATTTCTTTTTTGGGATGGTGTCGGGGAGAACTGGAACTGTGCGTCAGGCGCCGCCGGGACCGGTAGGGCATAGGCATCCACTGTCGCCCCGTCAAGCTGCTGCTAAGCTCCTCCAATCTTCTTCGCAAACTCTGCAAACACACAAGATGAGAATGTGACCCAAACATCCCAAAGCAGACCTCCCCGGGCCTTCATCCCTCCAGGCCTGCCCCCCACCAGCCCCGCACAGCGCGCCCTCCCGCGCATGGACGCAGGGCAGACCAGTTGCCCAGCACAGCCCCGACCGCGGGAGGGGCTGGCTCAAACAGGCTCAGAGCACAAGAGGGGTCCCTGCCGGCCCCCTGTGGACAAGGGGCCTCCACGATTCCATGGGGAAGTCTGAATGTTCCTCTGTGACTTCTGATGAGCCAGTGTCACCTGAGGTTCAGGACGGGACAGGAGACTGTGGGCATGGAGACATGACAGGTAGTCTCTCCCGGGACCCTTGGGCGCCAGCCCCTGCCCTGCCACCACCCGGGCTGACCCCCAGGCCAGCTCAGGCTGCTGGGGCGTCTGGGGGAAGCGGTTGCTGGAGTCTTGCTTCCCCACGGGGCTGTCATCAGAGAGCCGGCCTGTGAGAAGTCGCTGGCGGCACCAAGTGCCGGCCTCGCCCGGCGCCCCTCTGAGATGCTCATCTCAGCTTCACAACAACCGGGTGTGCTTGCTCCTAATCTGCATTTTCCAGGTCAAGGAGCAGAAGTGGGGGGTCCGGTTCCTGGCCTGAGTCAGGACTCAGCCAAGCTGGTGACTCTGGGTCCTGAGCCCTTGCCCGCTGCCCCCCACCTCCGGGAGCAGAGCGGATGCGGGAGGGTGATTGTGTCCGCCCTCCTCCTAATGCCCGTCCACCTGGGATCGTGCATGTGACCTTATTTGGGAAAAGGGTATTTGCACATGTTTCCAAAGAAGGTCTGGAGATGCGAGTGGGCCTGAAATGCAAGAAGAGACGGTGGGGGTGGGGAGGGATTTGAGACACAGAGACCCACAACCAGAGGGCGACGTGAAGACGGAGGCAGAGATGGAAGGATGCTGCCTCAGCCAGGGGACCCGGGGGCGCAGGAGCCCCAGCGCCGGGAGCCAGGCCTGGAGCGGATTCTCCCTCAGGGCCTCCAGGAGGAACTAACTTTGCCAGCGTCTTGGACGTCTTGGAGCATCTGGCTTCCAGACCCGTGAGAGAATAAAAGTCTTGTTTCAGCGTCCAAGTTTGGAGAGTTTGTTATGCCAGCCCCAGGGCACTAACCAGTTGGGCGACTGGCATCTGGAGGGGGCCCCTCCCCAGTAGCTGCACTCTGGGGGGTCCACTTGTACCCCATGTCCAGCTGCGGCCCCTCAGCCCTCCGTCCCCGCCCGACAGTGGCCTCTCTCCACCTAGTAGGCCTCTTTTCCTTCTAAACCCCGGGTCTCAGCATGACTACCCTTTCTAGAAACCTCTGAGACCTTTCTTGCAGGACAAAGTTCTTAAGATGTGGCCCCAATCTCCTTTTCCATATTTGATAGAATCCCTTCTCTGAATGCTGGGCCCAGCATTCTGCCTTTCCTCAGACTGGACGAGCATGTTCACAACTTTGTGTGTGCCACTGGCTTTTGTGGAAAATGGGAGTGGCTCATTCATTCATTCATTCATTCCACAAAGATGTCTGGAGGACTGTTAAGGGCTGAATTGTGTCCCCGAGTTCATACGCTGGAGTCCGAACCCCTGCGACCTCCAGTGTGACTGTGTTGGAGATTTGGCCTTTAAAGAGGTGAATAAGGTAAAACGAGGTCTCTTGGGTCGGCCCTAAGCCAACCTGACCGACGTCTTTATGAAAAGAGTGAAGACACAAAGGAAAGACCTGTGAGGACACAGGGAGGAGACGGCCGTCTACACGCCGAGGAGAGCGAGCTCAGAGCAGCCGAGCCTGCTGGCACCTTGGCCTTGGACTCTGGCCCCCAGACTGTGAGAAGATAAATTTCTGTTGTCTAAGCTGCCCCCTGGTGGTGCTTTGTTAGGGCAACCTGAGCAAACCCAAACAAGGACCTGCTACGTGCAGGCTCCTCCTGCCAGGCGGGTGTGCTGGTGACCAAGCCAGATAAAGCCCCTGCTTCAGGTCCGGACATTCTGTCCCGGAGACCCCCAAACAAATAATCTAACCCCAGGTGCTGAGGGAGGGTCTGGAAGAAAGGGGGTGGGTCATGGTTCCTGGGTCCGGTGTTGTTTCCCCTAACCCGTGTTTGAGGAGTGCCTGTGAACGGGAACTGAGTGGCAGAGGAGCACAAACTTGAGGACGTGGGGAGGAGCCTTCCTGGTGGAGGAAATGCAAGTGCAAAGGTCCTGAGCTCAGGGAGCTGGGCGGAGCACCCCCTGCCCCTGGGGGCTGGGAAGGCCTAGCCCAGGGGCAGCTCCCTTCTTAGGGGCAGCCCTGGCAATGCCTGGCATTGCTTGGGTTTGGGCTGGAAGGAGGCAGGAGAGGCCTTCCACCTGCCCTCTTCCACGTGGTCAGCCCCACGGCCCGGGGATCCTAAGTGAAGGGGCGGTGCCAGTTCAGCCCTGCTCCCGGGGGAGCCCTGCCAAAGGTGCTGTGCGGAAGGAGTGCCTTTACCTCTGTGTTCACATCCTAAGCCAGTACCTGCATCTCCCTCCGTCCCCAGACTTCTGGGTAAAATTACTGATTTTATGAAACACCTAGCCCTTCGGCCAGTGTCCAGAGAAAATATGAAAGAAAAATTCTCCACTTTTTTTAAATGAATAAAATTGCACTCCAGAACATGTCTAGTGATTTATTTCATCCCCTGAATATAAGGAAATTATATTCAGATTATGTTAACCTCCTGAATGTAAACACAGGGGAGAGAACTCTGCAGAGGGCCAGGCTGGAGGAGGCTGCTCTCCTGGGGAACCGGGCGCTCCCACTGGGTAAAGACGGAAAGAGACTGTCCGTCCCTTGCACCCTCGGCCTTGGCAGTGAGAAGGCCCAGGACAGACTGCAGGCAGGGGTCACAGCTGCCTCTGGCATCGCTCTGCTCCTTGACACTCATCCCCAGAGCCTCAGCAAAGTTTATTCTGGTTTTATGGTTTGACTGTGGCACTGTTTAAAACAGCTTAGAGCGGGCGTGCAAGAGCTGTCTTGGGACATCTGTAGGTGCTCTGCCTTTTCTGGGGGGAGGGGGTGGGAGCTGGAGGGTCCGGTGGGTGGGGCAGGGATGCATGGGGAGAGGTCGCAGCTGAAGAGGTGGGGGCTCCACAGAGAGGCCTGTGGGGGGTGCCGTGTGGACGAACATCCACACTGGGGCTGCCGAGCGGCAGGCCGCGGCAGCTGGATCACAGCAAGTGAGGAGCCCAGAACTGTCCCTGACAGGACAAAGATAGAGGCTGCAGGAGAAGACACCACGCGCCAGGGAGGACACACACGGGCCGGAGAGAGATGGCTGGTCCCCCACGAGTGTCTCTGAGGTCGCTCATGGGGAGGGGGTTTCTTTCCTTCCTTCCCTCTCACCCAAAGCTTCTACATCTGAGAGGGGCCCTGCCTGCCCCACTCCCCACCTAGATCCGAGCAGGGGCAACGGGCTGCAGTCCACGTACAAGAGGCTGAGCCAGCAGCCCAGAGGAGGAAGCAGCCCGGGTGGGCAAAGGGTGACCTGGCAGAGAGGACCACACAGGGAGTGGGAGGAGGAGAGGAGAGGAGGGCTCCCTGCTGCTGCTGGACGGAGGGACAGCAAAGGGGGAGGAGAGAGTCGTTCTGCCTCATCCCTGGGCCTCAGGCAGCAACCTCCGTCACTTACAAGGACCTGTGCTGACCTCTGTCCCAGCAAAGGACGGTTTACTGTGCAAGGCTATAGTCAGCCACAGCCAGAGGGGAGAGACACAGGGCGGAGCTGGGGGTACAGCTGGACCTGACGACAAGGCACAGAGCCCAGAGCTGTCCGCCTACCAGGGCCCCACGCACACATCACAGGCTCGGCAGCGCAGCCTGAGCTCAGCTCCCGCCTCCCCCCAAACTGGACCCTCCGCTTGTTTCTGTCCACTGTCCAGTCCACCCTAGAGTAGCCAGGGGAGCGACGTCACCCCACAGGGACAGCCGTGCTGCGGGCCCACAGGGAGAGTGCCCCCTCTGCTGAAGAGACCTCCACATTGTGCTGAGATTCCTCACATCACAGATAAGCCCCTGAGCGACCCACAGGTGGAAAAAGGGAATTAGCCGAGACTATAAAGCGAAGTTCCCAAACTGGGTGCCCTGGGGAACCTCAGCAACCTCGCAGGTGCACTGTGGGGTCGTCAGAATTTCCCAGGATGCACGGAGATGTCGGCTGGCCGCCACACAACCTGCTGTTTTTGAGTTCTTTGGACGTGACTCATTAATCACAGAACTCTTTGGTGTGTCTTTTGGCCGGAGCACCATGAACGAAGTACCAGGACCCTCAGGGTAGCCGGGATGGAGGACATGCGGGGACACCTGCCATGAGAGCAAAGGGGAAGCAGGGAGACTGTGATGTAGCAGGAGGAGGGGAATGAGCTGAGAGCCAGACACAGGCTGAGGAGGGAGTGGGGGCAGGAGTGGGGACAGGATTGGGGACAGATGGACAGACAGGTGGACAGACAGGCTGGGACAGACAGGGCGGGGAAAGAGGCCAGGGGGATGCGCAGGAGGGAAGCCTGGGCGCGGCGGACATGCCCGCCTCTCCTCCGTGCTCTGCCTGGGCCCCGTGGAGCATTGTGTGCTCTCTGATCTCGTGGGCGTTGTCCCTGCTTCCATGTACCACGGGAAGGGAACTTCAAGTTAAGCAACGGAGACGCCGTCCCGCGGCTAGAAGTCTGAGGACCCAGCTGGAACCGAGCAGAGCCCCGCAGGGCCCCCCAGGTGCAAAGGCCCCTCCGTGTCCCCTGCCTCTCGTCTGCAGAAAAGCTGGAGCCCTCCAGATTCGCAGCGTCGTAAAAGAGCAGGCTGGAGCAATTAATGACGAGGACAGCGGACTCACAGGCTCAGGGTCTGACGCGCGTTCCCGAGACGTCGCACAGACACCACGACTGCCGGCGGGGCCCGAGCTCCCTGCGTGGGGCCCAGGCGGCAGCCGCCACGCAAGCCCCCCGCCTCGAGCCGGCCGACCCGATGGCCAGCACAGCTCCAAGGCCTGGCTCTCCGAGCGCGGGATCAACACTACGGCTCGTGAGAATCTGCACCTTTGGGGGCCTCAGAGGAGCGGTAGCTGGCTCTCCCTGCGCACGCACGTGGGCAAGTGCGCTGTCAGCAGAGAGGTGCGCAGACGCATTTCATCGTCTTCCGCCTGAGGACAGGGCGCCCTCTGTCGGCATGAAGAGGTCACAGAGACGCGCCTTCTCCCCTAACTCCGTAGAGGAGGGACGATGTCGATGGCGGGGACTGCCAGCAGCCCCTTCCTGTGTGTCCGTTTCTGCCCCCCTCACCCTGAAAGGGCCTAATTAGAGGAGCGAGGGCGCTGGGCAACATGGAAACCGGCACCGGACCTGCGCGCTCCTGACTGCACGCGGCGTCTTGCCTCGCCTGGGGGTTTATTCCCACGTGAAACCAGGTGAGGGTGGAGAAGGGAGCAGTTGGAGAACCACTCGCTCTCTACCGCCCGCAGCCCCTTCGCAGTCCTGCGGGCCGACCGCGGGCCGGGTAGCACCAGGAGAGCGGGGCAGCCAGTCCGCACACCGTGGAGGAGATGCGGACCCCAGCCTCCTGCCTCCGCGCTTCACTGAGATCCCCCCACCCCCCACCCTTTTCTCTCTAAAAGCCGTCCTGGCCGAGCAGAATCTTCGGAGATGGCTTCTGGACCTGAGTCATTGCCAGCCTTTCTGATTAAAGCACCTTTCCTCTCTACTGACACCTGCCTCTTGATTATTGGCTTTTGAGTGGTGAGCAGAGGAGCCTGAGGTTGGTAACACAGTGAATAATGTGTTAGTTTGATAAAGAGGAAACAGGACGGCTGGTCAGATTTTGAAATCTCAAGGCAAAGTTCTCCCATCAGTGATGAGTGGAGCTCAGAAATGCAGTCTTGAAAACCAGCCCCTCCCCCGTGGCTCTCTTCCCATGGGCTGTTTTTGCTTTTGTGTTTCCAGCTTTCCACAGGCTTCAGTAAAGCCCCAGAAGGGTCACAGGGCTGAGGGGCTTGAATCCCACGCCCTGCGACCAGCTCCTGGCCCCCGGGCCTGGCCTCCTGGCCCCGTGCTGGCCCCGGGTTCTGCGGAGACGTCCCATGGCTGAGCAGGCACATGCCCACATCGGGGGAAGTCCTGCGAGTCATTTAAAACTTCTGCTCTGACCTGGCATCTCGTGCGGAATCTGTGTGATGTGCCACTCAGACCTGTGGGGATGTTTCCTCTCCCTCCATGCTAAATAGGAAATTAACTTCTCCTAAAAGCACAATAAAAGTCTGGTTCACTGAGATTCCATACAGTGTCCAGGAAAGAGAAAGAAAGATGTCATCACTCTTAGATCCAAGTCTAAACCTTCCCTCCGCCTTGGCTCAGCCCCTGGTTCTGCGTGAATGTCAGGGGAGATACACAGATGTCTGATTTTCTTGCAAAATCTGCCAGAATGGGTCATGGGTCACAGCTGACCGCGTGGCCTGGAGCATTTGTTCCTGCTAGCGGCTTGATTTCCGCATCCTGAGGTATTTTCCCCAAATAGTGCCAAGGATGGCCGGCAATGACCAGAAGCTGGAAGAGGCAGAGACAGATTCTACGCAGGGTCTCAGGAGGAACCAGCCCTGCCTTGATCTCAGACTTCCAGCCCCCAAAGCTGGGAGAGAGAACATTTCGGATGACTGAGCCCTCGGCCTGGGGTGCTTTGCCGGACAGCCCTGGACCCTGACACATCATGGTTCATACCTAATCTGTGTCCCCGAGTGCCTTTCTGTGCTGGGAAGCCTTGGCATCGGTATCTGTCCCCGAGTAAAACTCTGCAGGCACAGTCGTGTACCAGTGCCCGTGACAGCAGGGACTGGCAAATGCTGGAAACCAGCCGCCCTGTCCCCTCGGGGAGCCGGAGTCCAGCACGCCTCGGGGAGGGCCACCAGTGCCACAAGTGAGAGGGCTCCTGAAGCCCTGAGACCAGGCCTTGCGGCTCCAGTGCTGACACGGATTCCGGGGTGATTTTCCCACATCACCAAGCGGTGAGCTCAGCTCTGACACCGTCTAGCAGGCGTCAGAGGCCACAGGGCCCCCTGATGGGGCTCAGCCCTGCTTGCCTGCTCCCCTCCCAACCCGCCCACTTCACATGCTAAATTCTCCAGCAGGTCCAGGTTGTCACCTGTGCTTCTGACCCACTGGCTACAGATCCATCAGAGGTTCCAGCGATCCCCTCCTTGTGTTCAATAAATTGCTAGAGCGGCTCATAGAGAAACACTTTACTCACTAGACTGTGGGCTTATCGTAAAAGGATGTAAGTCAGGAACAGCCCGATGGAAGTCGCAGAGGGCAGGTGTGGGAGGGGTGCGGAGCTTCAGCGCCCTCTGCAAAAGCCACCTCCTTGAATCTCCAGTCTCACCAGAAGCTCCCCAGACCCGGTCTTTGGGGGTTTTAAGGAGGCTTCATTACACAGAATGGTGGATTAAATCACTGGCCAGCAGTGACTGAACTCAGTCTCCTGCTCCCCTCCCCTCTCTGGAGGTCAGGGGTGGGACTGAAAGTGCCGGCCCCCATCATGTGGTTGCTTCTCCAGGCAACCAGCCCCGTCTCAGGAGCACAGCACACAGCCTCGCGTCCCCTCATTAAGGTCACAGGAGACGTGCTCTCCTCACTTACAGTTTCCAAGTCTCTTAGGAGCTCTGTGTCCAAAACTGACAGACTGGATAACGCATTTCTTTTTCCCTACATTTGTCTACATTGTGAAGTAATCAGCACGGTAAGTTACCTCGTGTCCTCATACTTACATTTTTGTCTTGTGATGAGGACTTTTAAGGTCTGTGCTCTCAGCAGCTCAATAACTACAATTATTAACTGCAGGAATGTAACAGCGCAGCGACCATAGTTAATATATTTCTTACTGTAAATCACAGTGTCACAGAGCACAGAGCTCCTTCCCCCCCGTGAAGATGTGCACCTTCCACGGAAGCCCCCGAAGCCACTTTGCGGTGGAAAGATCTTTGTCTAGATGTGGAAGGTGCCTCCTGGTGCTCCCAGTCCGTCCACTTTCTTTCTAGAAAGTGCCCTCAGCCTGCAGGGCCGTCTGGGGCCAGCGCCAGCACAAGCATCTTCAGACACTTCTCTGTGTGTCTCCAGCCTCCCAGCACGAGCCGAGTTCACCAGGAACGGCTCTTAACAGAAAGGCAGGTCTGGAGCATAAGGTGTCATTAAGCA